ACCGCCGATATGTCCCATTACACCGCCGATATGTCCCATTTAAAACCCCACACCCAAGGTCTCCCTTCCCATTCCTCCACCCCTACAAATAATAACAAATAATAACAAATAATATTATACTAATACTGAGTATGTTGAAGTACACGCGCGAGGATGTGGATAACTTTATATTTTTCGATGTAAAAAGCACCGCTAATTTTTCTTGCTTTTTGGATAAGCAAAAAATTAGCTAGTGCCAAGAATTAACATTTGAGAATTTTGAAATGTTATACATGCTGCTAGTAATTTTTCTTTGCTCACTACGTTCACAACTGAAAAATATAACTAGCTTGGATTTAGAGTGTATGGGTTGGCTATTGTTTTAATTACTACGTTGTTCTTTTTGGTAAGGTTCGTTTATTGGTTGGCAAGAGAATGAATTTGTTTATCTTATTGAATCCTACTAGTTAGCTTTAGTATTCTTAGGGAAGTATAAGCATTTATTCTTTGTCTTTTGAAATATCTTAAACCTAAGGTAGCAATATGGCTCAAATCAAAACTATAGGTGATGAAGCTGGTAAGTTAATCAAGCGAGTAATCAGGCATAAAGACCCTCTAGTTGCTGAACTACTCATAAACTGGAGCAAGGTTGTTGGTGTAAAGTTTGCAAGTTCTACCTATCCACTCAAGACAATAAAGTTCAAAGAAAAGAAACAATTCAAGAAGCTCCTCATTGTAAACGCCAGTAATTCATCGCTAGCAATGGAGTTTTCTTTTCAGCAAGATATCATTATTGAGCGTATAGCGGTGTATATGGGATATAAAGCAATACATAAAATTCAGGTTAGAACTCTATAATTTTACAATATGGGGTTTGTTTCTTAATAATAAATAGCTTTATTTCGCATTTTAAGGTACTTTTTAGCGCTATATTTAACTTTCATGAGTATTGAATCATTAAATATAAAATAACCCTCTTAAAACTCCTTATTTTAAGATCTTGTTTTTATCTGTTGGAAAGTATAGGTTAAAAAGAAGTATTAAACCTAGTTGGAGTATAGCATATCATGCCAAAAATCAGTAGAGAAAAATTGCTTGAATACTTGGAAAGTGAATATTCTGAAGAATTAGACTTAACAACGTTGATGCGTTACTGTACAAAAGATCAAGATTATTTTGTAAACAAAAATTCAAGCAGTAGAAATATAACTAAACGAGATTAATAATTTTTTATGAGTAAATCAAATCACGATCAACAAATCCATCCTCTAACAGACGATGAACTGACCTTCTATGCAAAATACGCTTCTCTGCAAGTTGCTGATAAAGGTAAAGGCTCTGTTGAAGATGGTATTGAGTACATAAAATCTTTTGACAAAGTAGTTATTCATGAAAGATGTTTCAATACAGCTAGAGAATTTGCTGAATATTCTTACAAAGTAGATGAACGCAGTGGTGATATTACTAATAAAATAGAAGATAAAAACAACCATTGTGTTGACGCACTGCGTTACGCGTTAGAGCGTTCAATGAAACGATCTATCATTAATTACAATAATATGAGAAGTAATTCTGCTAGGTTCTAAAAGATAAAATCTTATACAAGTTTACTAGATACAGAAGCCGCAATAATACTCTCCCATAAGTTCTTTTGAGAATAATATACCATTTGACGCATAGCAGTATTCACAGAAGGAACTTTTGAATCTTCTACCTTAGGTTCATTATTCAATCTAGAGCTAACAATATTCGATCTAACTTGTGTTGGAGTAGGTTTGTATGCTACTGACTGTTCTTGTTTTTGAGCAGGAATTGAAGTTTTTGGAACGTAGTCAAAAACCTTGCCTGTTGTGTGCTTTTTCGTTTCTGATAATTCATTGACAACTGGCGTCTTATTTAATTTATCTGTTTTCTCCGCTCTTGCTGCTACTCTCTCTTCTTGCGTAAGTGAAGAATGAGAGACTGGTTTACTTGTAGATTTAGCAGATTCTTCTACTTTAGGAGTAACAGAAGGTTTTTTATCAAAGAGAGACATTACTGCTTCTCTTCTTTCTTTCATTAAGTTTATTAGCTTCCTATTAGTATCTTCCAAAACATCAATTTGCTTCTGTGTGATGTCTTTGGATTGTCTGTGTAGTTGAATACTCTCTTCTTGAAGTTTTATATAATTCTCAAGTCCAGTAATATAACTCTTACGCAATTGATTAGATTCAATTAAAGCGTTTCTACGAGTCTCTATAGTTGATTGTTGTGGTTCGGTAAGGTTAATTCTTCTTATTTCTGATATTGGATATAAAGAATTTCCTATTGAATTTATTGGAGCTACCATAATATACCTGCTTTGATTACGTTAAATCTATATCGTTAAAATCTATACTATCTAGTTTTTCTTCATTATCCGAATTAGAGTTTGAATTTTCTCCTATCATTGGTACTAATTTACTATTTAATTCGTTATTTGTAAAATTTTCTGCCAGCATATCTTTTAAAGGCTTGTTCTCATCCTCTACTGTTTCTAACTTTTTTCTTAATACACTACTATTACTAGATTTGCCAACAGAACCTTTATCTGATTTACTTTTTCCTAAATCAGATAAATCACTCATTGCATCAAATTCACTTAAACCTTTTATATATGATTTATTATCAATATCATTATTCCCTTTACTTAGTTTTTCTTTTAATTCTTTTACTTCAACTTTAAGCTCTGATTTATCTATTTCTAAATGATCTTTGTCTCTGACTAAACCATCTATTTGCTGGTCTTTCATATCCAACATTTGTTTTTGCATTTCTACTTGCATGTAAGCTGTATCAAGTTTTTGGTCTTTACTATCAATAATTCTATCTTGTTCAGCATTTTCTTTTTGGAGTTGATTGATGGTTTCTCTATTTGCCTTAAGTTCTGATATTGTGTCAGCATCTTTTTGTGCTATCATTTTTTCAGCTTCTTCCCTCGTAACCATCTCTTGCATTTGCTCATCTTTTTTAACTATAGTTGCATCCTTAGCTCTATTAGCCTCTTCAAGCTCTTGTATCCTAGCCATCATTTCAGCCATAGACATTTGATTGTTAGCTTCAGAACTGCCTAGCTCTTCTGACTGCGCTTCTGGTATATCAATCAAACCTCCAAATGCTGAAGGTTTTATTAAAACTGATTCTTGATGTGTAGATGATATTTCTGAAGATGGTGGTGATGCTGAATGTTCACTTATAACTTCTTGTGCTTCTAGCTCTTCTTGCAATACTATTTCAGCTTCATATAATGGCGCTATTTCTTCAGCTAATTCTTTTGCTATATCTTGTATATCTTCTTTACATTCAATTATAGAATCTGGGACAGTTCCATTACTTCCATCAGGATAACTAAAATATTCAGTTAAATCTAAGCTTTCTAAAAACGAGTTTTCAAAAGCTTCTACATGCTGGGCGCTACCATAATCAGTTTTAACTAATTTCTGTAATCTTTCTTCTTGCTTTTTGAAAGGACTATCAATACTAGACAATATGTTATTATATTGCTCTAATATTTGAGGATTATCGTTAAGTACTTTTTTTAAAACAGGATTATTTTTTAATGATTGTGTAAGGGGTTGAGTTGTTTTTACACTCTCTAAGACCCCCTCAGGTAAAAATTCTTCTAGAATTGGTAAAAATACATTATTTAATGCTTCTATATGCTTAACTGATATATCATCAAAACGCTTTTTGGCTTTTTCTACTGCTCTTGCTCTATAGTCAGAATATGTATATGTATTAGACCTACCACCAAATACTGAATTTAAAAAAGCTTCATCTCCAGAACTATCAACTAAATATCTTTGTATAGGATTAAAATTATCTTTTTGTGACTGTACGTGATTATACCAATTATTGTTCTTCATATAAATAACCTCATTATTAAATTGTTAACGCAAAATTTAAAATCAAGCAAGTTTTTATAACTGCTGATTGTATTACAACCAATTTTCTTTTAATTCTTTTGATACTTCTATTGTAGAAATTATTCCTTCTTCAATATCGTTAACTGCATGAAATATTTCCGCTAAATCATTTTTTGGAATAACAACGTAACTGTTATCAGTAACAGACTTAAGCCATTGTCCTACACTGTGAGCCGAAACCTCGTTCAAACAACTTTCATATAATTTTAGAATTTCTTTACGTGGAATTTTATAGTTTTGCATTTAAAACCTCCTAGTTAATTGTTGGTACTAGGGGTTTCGTAAAGTCAATCTTTGAGACCTCAACTACATTTCATACCAGAGGTACTTATAGTAGAAGACCCCTAGCATAACTAGGATTTTTAAAGATTAGTGCTACGAAACACCTTAATTTACATTTATCAGTTATTTAATTCACTTGCAAGTTTTGAAGTAAATTACTTGCTGCATTTCCAACCTGACTTTGTTTTTGTTGTTTATCTTCAAAACTCATTTGTCCATCTATAACAGTATCAGGATATTTTGAATTATTATCAGTTTTCTTTTTAGGCTTAATATATTCGTTGGTATAAGTTCTATCTTGCTTATAACGCTTTGCAATTTTTGTTTTGTTGAAGGTGAATTTAATTGTTGTAACTTTACGACCTTCTTTGATTTCTTGAAAGTCTAAATCTACGTGGTAATAATTGTTTATTTCATTGACGGCGTGTGCAAAAGTTCTTCTTTTAAAGTCTTTATATAATCTCAATTTTTCAACAACTCCAAAACTTCTTCTCAAGTCTTGTACAGTGATTTTTAGATACCCAGTGTCCTTAAAACTTTGAATTAATTCATATAATCTAATTGAATATATACTTCTAAAATCAGATATTTCTTTAAGATTATACATTGTAAATTTTTCGGTAACTTGTGCCAAGAAAGGAATTATACTATCCGTAAAAATAATTGTTATTCTACCTTCATTTTCATTATAAATCGCTTCTGAACAAACATTTATACGTCTATATTGTTTCTTATCTTTTATTTTTACATCTGTTTTTAATAATTTATCTACCACCTGTTTAATAGCACGATACGAAGATTTTAAGTCTACTTGAAAATTCTCACTAAATTCTTTTGCAGTTAAAATATGTTTCCTTTCAAGTTCTAATGGTTTTAAATATCTTCCTTCTTCGTCTACTTTTTTTATTTTAGCAACTAAATTCAAATATATTTTTATATCGTTAGTTGTGAAATTGTCATAATCAGCAGTGTTAAGTTTATCTTGTTTGTATACTGTTAAATCTTTGTTTTTATTCATTGCTCCACTTCTTTTACAAAATAACATTTTTCAATATATAACTAAGACTCTTTGGCGTCAAATTTAAAATGTCCTTTTATTGTGAATAAATACTAAATATCATACCGCCGATATGTCCCATTACACCGCCGATATGTCCCATT